GGGAGGACAAAGTAAAAGAAAGAGACAGCCGGGAAACGACAAAACAGAACGAAACAAAACGAGACGAAAGATCCTGGGAGATGAATTTATGATTAATGCTGCTAGACGGCCCGGCCGGGTAGTAAAAAGCGTTCGGTCGCGAAAATAAAGAGTCGTAAAACCTAATGAGATGAGTTCCATCGGGATCTCCGAGGGAGCTGCTTTGTGCGCATGAAACTCTCTCGGCACCAATATTGGCTGCGTGCCGGTCTCATACAAGGTGTTTGGAAGCAATCATATTTCAACCGAGTTTCAACAGAACAATATTTCTCGTTGAAATCTGAGATAATTGAAAAACCAAGATATTTTTTTCTTTTCATTTTATATAAATTCAATATCCTTTTTTCTTCAAGGATTTTACTACGTCATTATTATTGCTATTGTTATTCAACTGGATTTTTATTATTTTCTATATGATTTCTAATTGTAAGATTTTAGTGTTAATTGTCTGTCGGACAAAATTTAACGCATCGATAGTTCTAGGGTTAAAATCTAGTCTCTCATTTCGACGAGTATTCTGTCGGTTCTTACCGTTCAAACTGACAGTTTTTTTCAACACCTTGTATAACGGCGAAAGCGAATGCAGACGTAATCGGTTCGGCGCCGATTAGCCCAGACGAAATTGCCTCCGCAAAACGACAAGGCGGTACTTTCGACACTATACTTCGCGATTTCTCGTTCACCGTTCCTTTGTCATTGCTTACGTGATGGTACGATGAGACTGGTGGCCTTGAAGTGTAACATAAGGATGTAGAAAGTTGTAATCTCGTCGGCGAAGATAATAATAAACACTGTTGCAATTGTATATGAACATGCGTTCGTCGAAGGAAAAATATTTTTGCGATCATCTCACTCGTGAAACGATTACGTGGAACTATCCCTAATCATTCATGATAAATATAAACGCGGCATGCAAAAATGCGAGTTTGAAATTTTAATCATACTCTTAAATTGATAATTTAATCTTAACTCGTTTGCGTGTATCTCGACAACTCTTCTTAAAGAATTTTCAAATATTCCGCTAAAAACGTGTTTCCTTCATCGAGAAGGATCTTTTCCGAAAATTGAAAGGCGCTGAATTAAAGGATATCTTCGCGCATCCCGTCGTTATGGATGTACCAAGTGCATAATTGACTCGCAATTTATGTTCCGAGCAACCACATGTGGGTGGCCGTGCGACGACCGTATCGCTCGTTTCTCCTCTTCCTCTGCCTCTTCCGCCTGTTCGGTTTATTTGCTCGCGTTTGTCGGCAAGGTGGTCCCATGTGAAACAGTACCGCGCCTCGCCATACAACGACCTCGATCCTATCTGTATTTAGAGATAGATCGTGCCTGTGTTTGCGGTCTCGCAATGACGCACGGACTATTTTTCGTGCCGAATTCTGCCGATTCGTTGCAAAACTATGTTAATCAACACATCGCAAAATGTGCTAATACGTGACGAAATATGCTCGGTTTTAGCACGGAGATCTTCATGTATCAACTACGTGTCGCATTTTCGCATGTCGTAAATTATATCTACGAGTATACTCCGCGTGGGAGATTTAACCCTTCGGAGCTGATGTTTATTGGACCCACTAAACCATAAATCTCTTCGTCATAATGTTAAACAAATTAAAGTTTTCTTTATGTTACGTCTACAAAGGATCCTGCACTAATTATGTGAAAATTAGATGAAACGAGTTAGTTTTCACATATAATAGCTTATAATGTGATGAATAGAAGATGTCAGATGCAAGGCTCAATGATGAATAGTTTTTAAGCTATGAGTTTTTAAGGCTAATGATGCATCAAACATGTTTGTACATGATACATAAGCATATTATGTCTTAAACCTTTGATTTGATGCCATTATTCAAAAACTATATATTATTAAGCCTTGTACACATCTTTTGTTCATCATTATAAGCTACGTTATATGCGAAAAACTAATTAACTCATTTCACCGGGATCCAATTTCTATGTAATTAATACGGGATCCTTTAGAGTATTATCAAAATAATATACGTTGTTAGTATTTTTTTTTTTCATTTGAGTTATGTTAATTTAGTTCCTTGAAATTAATTAGTGTCCTTTAATCAACATAAATTAAATGGATCTCACAGATTCAGGTGTTAGTAACTGCGTTGCAGGTTTTGGCGTCACCTTCGGAAGATTAACGACACAGATACATATGAAAATTTTTATTCGAGCGCCAAAGTATGCCACATAGCGCCTAGCAGACTCGGACAATTTGTTAGCATTAACTGTAAAAGGCGCGCATCGCACGACAAGAAGGAGGCAATCGACTTTTCGGCACGGTCGTTCACTCTCGTCTGCTTCTTCGCCTTTCCTGTCGCGTTCTCACGTAAACTGCGCAGTAAACAAACCCAAGTTTACCTCGCTCTACCGGCTCCCGCAAACACGATCTGCTCGATTTTTTTGTCATTCCTCTTCGCTCGAGGTGTTTTAATGAGGCGTCGTGTGTATTAAAACGATTTTTTACTGAGACCCGCTTTCTCCAAAAAGCCATCACGCATATCTCGTTACGTACTACGTGCAAACTGTAATAGGCGTAAATATGTAGAATTAGTGAATCAAGTTAAATTGATCTATGTACTGATCGAGTCATTTGCGAGATTGACGCGATTAAATTTTATCGCCGTGTGAGCCTAGTTGTACGACGCACGGTCATGATTGCAGATGACAGTGATAACCTCTGATACGACACGAGTAACGATAGAGATATAATCAAAGAGCAAAATGCTAACCTCTTTATAATTCTATTTTCTATCATGTTGACATAAACAATTAACGATACACGTAACTATCTGTGATCTAGTTATAGAGTGATAAAGATACCTGACGTGTTTATTTTAGCGCGTTGACTGTACTCATGAGTTCATTGATGCTTTAACTCTTATCTTATCAATCTGATTTCTAATACCCCCCTATCATTTTATTGTTCTACAGCTATTGCGCATCTTCAAATGCAGCGTACTAGAATAAAACCAATTTTTTCCTCGGAATGCGGAAAACCACATGCTCATATCTCGACATGCAAGTCGATGTCAAAAATATTAAAATTATAACGTCAAATACTCAAAATATCATACGAAGAAAAATATAGTTATATAAATATATATTATATGTACAGATATACGAAAGTATTATATTATATTATAATTGGTACAAACCTCGTATAAACAATTTATTTTTATTTAAAATATACAATACTTTTTTAGATATAAAAATAGACTTAAAAAGATTATCATACATAAGAATCGATAAGAGAAACATAGAAAATTTGATAAAAATAGACAAATTTAAATAATTCAAAGAACGTTCGTAAGAGAATTTCGTGAGAGATTAAATATAATAATATAACACAGATATAGCGTAATAAATATAGATAATAAATAAAAAAGTAGATATTATTTTAGAGATGATAGAAAGGTATAAAGCCCATTCTTGTCGCTACGACGTCGTGCAGGACATATCGTATAAATCAAAATAATCTTGCTCGTGCATACATCGCAATTTAGCGAGCCTACTTAACCAGAACTTTGCAACACAAACAACAGCTATTACAAATTCAAGCACACGTGCCGGTAAGCATGACTTACCGCTCCTTGCTAATTTAAACAAGGATTAAATGTCACCGTTCAGGGAAACTATGTGATCGTCCTTACGCTATTCACGTTCCCACAAATAGAAGCAGAATTTACACCTCTTTCGGAGAAGCCTGTTATTAGCATCAAAGCAAAAAATATATAGATATAGTTTGCTAACATTATTGAAAAACGGTATTACCGTATCGATCGTATAGAAGTTTGAGGGTATCTAAAAGTTTAATGTGATAATATGAGCGCAAATATGAATTGGGATGGGGGAAGGGACTCGCATAAAAAATATGTCTTACCTCGGATGGACAATATATTCATATCCAAAGCTACACTGCAAACATATAAATGAAATGGTCAAGAGAAAATGGGTTGTGGTAAAACAAACCTTGATCGCAACAACGCTTGACATGTAAGAGACATTGATTAGTAAAACATTAATTATAGATGCATTCGGAGGAATATCCGTCACGAACTTGAGTGGAGAATTTAACGCTTCCCGTTGTTTGTAAGCAAAGTCTATATAAAGTCAGAGATAAAACGGGAGCTTATCGTTGTAAGTATTGTTGTAACAGCGACAAAAAATAAAGAGCTTATCAGACTTGCTCGTTATAGTTGTGATAATCCCCGAGCGTGTTTCGACCAGCAGCGTGAGCGCATCGAGTACCGACGATAATTAAGCGTAACATCTTAATACCAGACGTGTCGTAATATTATCGAAAAAGCGATTATTTGTAAAATTGTCTCAACATAATCTCCGTTATCGAACCCGACCGTTCCTTTCCTCGGCGCGATAAGCGCGTCGCGAAATACGAGCTTAAAGTAATCCGATGCATGGAAATCGATTCCGCATTGGGAATCGCATAAGCCCCCGTCTCTTCTTCAAGTTATCGTGATTATAATCTTTCAAAGACAAGATTTTAAAACCGGATATACTGCCAGAGTTTCACACGGAAAGAACAATTTTGCTCAAATATCTAAAAATTTAGCTAGATACAGATCTGAAAGTAATTTTGTTAGATCATCAAAATAATTATGTAGAATGCTTAAACAACTGATGACAATTCTGAAAAAAATTTTAACATTTAAACAGCTTGAGTGTCTTACATAATTATTTTGATATCTAAACAAAATTATTTTCAGATCTATATTTAGCTAAATTTTTAAATACGTTAGTAAAACTGTTTTTTCCATGTAATACTGCATCGAAATTGAAATCGTTTCGCGTAAATTTTTTTCCTTTCTCCCATTATTATTATTATCGTTCTTACCGTTTTAATTTTCGATATCGATTAATAATCATTAAGGGCACAGAGGTATGAATGAAATCTGCTTGAAAGAAAAACACGCAAGACTTACTGCATGTTCTTGATAACCAGCTCCGAATCAGTCTAGCATAATCGACGTAATCGATCACCTCGTCGAAGTCGCACAATAGCGCACCGTTTTGATCTCTCCGACATTTCCTTGGAACATCCTTGCTGCGAGGGTGGTGATGATGATAGTGGAGATGGAGAATCTCAGATCGTCCCGCATGGATCGCATTCGGGCTCTCAGTTGGATCTTCCTCGATGACGCTCGTTAGCAAGGAAGTATCAGCGGAGTCTGCTGCCATACCGACGGCACTGCAATAAGACCGGTCGACGATGGGTTTCTAGTGACCATCACAAAAACGAACCTACGATAAAAATAATCACACGTTCGGCAATCGCCATGCTAATCGACGTATTTATTTCGTGTCAAAAGACAAGAACGCGCCAATAATTTTGCAAATTAAGCGGACTATCATAATGTATCAAGCCATTGCACAAACTAATAATATATAATCGCAAACTTATCACTTTAATGCAAAACTACGAGGAAGCGGTACCGAAAGGAATTCACCCCGAGAAGGATTATTATTTGGTTACGCCTACGATTTATTATCACGAAAAGATTGACCTTCAGAGCCTGTGTACATAATAATGTACATGTTGGAAAAATAGTCAAAATTTTGAAAAAAAGAAATAATTTTTTAGTATGAATTACTTATTAAAGTAATGAGAGAGAATTAAAAAAAAATTTTTTTAATTCATGGTTCCATTAAAACCAAGTTTAAAGGTGTTAATCATTGTTTTACTGAAAAAGTAAAGTCTCGCTTCGAGATGAAACTCAAATAGGAGATAGCGTATATCAAAGAGATAGACTTTCGAAGTCCATAGAATTCTGCGAAATAAGATGACAGCTCCGGATACGTCATCATCTTGCACTTAATTCACGATAACCCAGATTGCGGATTTGTACGTACAAAGTGGGTTATCGCAGCGCGCGCGAAAAAAAAATCATCGTTATCGCCGATATTATACGCAATCGCACCATGAAGATAAATATCTCGACGATGCCCTCCGACCTCACTAGTGGCTGTGGTCGCGACGACGTTGATGTTTTACTATCGGTGCGTACAATCGACGTTTGCAGTTATCGTTCCACGGTACCGCACGGCTCGCGTCGTCAAGCTCTGTTTTATCAAAGGCGGTGGAGAACCGCGCGGTGAACGGCAGCTGCACGTGCCGCCGCGGACAAGGACGTCCGCCCGGTCGTGGCGAGGATGCCACTCGGGTACATCCCGAAGGAAGAGGGACTTCTGGCAAGGCGGGCTTCCTGACAAAGGCCAGCGCGGGTATGCCTTTCGTCATCCGCACGACGAGTGGGAAAAGAGGTATCGATCCGGCGAGCCGAGCTCAATAATTCCAACAAGAGTCCCTCTCTCGCTCCTTTAACGCGGGAACACAATTTGTGTAGCTCCTGCGCGATGCGCACTGCCCGCCGCGCTCTTCTCCTCTTCACCTGGGTCCGCGTTCAGGACGGTTTGATTCTTGGCCTCTCCTTATCCTCTTACCTCACTCCATTCGGCTTAAGAGCATCGATCTCGTTATTAAATTGAGAGATGAGCACGAAGGTGAAATTGACCTTTGTACCGCTTCGAATGTAGAGATTCGATAATAATGTCAGTCATTAACTAACGATCACTTACGGGAATCGACATAATTTTCCACAAGATAAAACAATACACGATAATGAAAATATCTAGCGTTGGGAAAATTATTTGACACACGTTATTATATAAAAATTTTTCATATAACCTGCGTCGCGGATTGTTTCACTGTGACGGAACATGTTGCGATACGTATGAGCTCAGGTATGCGATCAGCTGTGCCAAAACTCGTAAATATTCACCGGCGCGCGCATACTTGATTTTATGGCTATTATCGCCGCGCAGCTTGCGGAAAGATATACCTCTGTTGCAACATCACGCGAATGATAGCGTAGCGTGTACACGTGCCGCCTGCATCGATCGACTCTGCTGCGATTAAACGAATCCGATATTGATAATGAGACGATAGCGATAATGAGACGACTTCACGAGTGGCCGTGCGTTCGTCTCGCTCGCAATGTGTCTTAGAATAAGTGCAAGATTTTTTACAATTTTTTTCATCGGTAATGTCTAGAAATACTCACATTCGATTGTTGCAGAAAATTCTTCCATATAATCGGTCATAATTTAGTATACAGTAAATGACAGTGTATTAACTCTAGAATCGTAAACCGTTTAAAATGTATACTAAACACTCGCAAAAATTACGACTAAAATTATTTAAACATACAATTTATTAGCATTATTAATTTTTTAAATTGGCAATTTATTAAATACTATTCGAGTTAATCACTCTGGAATGGTATAAATTAGGAAGGCACTAATGAGGCAGTCAATGTCCCACTTCAATCAAATGAATCAAATTTACGGTAAAGTTTATTATTTTAGGATTAAATAATTTCAAAAGAAAGAAAGAGAACTTTCAAAGATAAGTCTTTTTTTTAACTAATAGAAGATTGAATTTATTTATTCAACCGATTTGGCTATTTATGGACAAAGCTTTCGAAACCGGGAAATCAGTTCATGTATATATGCGACATTTGGCAAGTACGATATCGCTTTTTCATACATCAAAAAGCGATATTGCCTATGATAGTATCTAGCGAACTGGTCGTCCGGTCGGATAGCCCATCAAAGCCGAGGACGAGATGTCAGAATGGACAAGTAGTCGTAATACAAGCGGAGAAACGAGTTTCATATACTATAGAAGTTTCCTCGAGATTGCCAGTTACAAGAATAGTACCTCCGGTTTATCCTAGCGCCAACCCCAAAAACCGATATCTCGGAGCGAAGTTCGAATAAGTTGATGCGCTCAAGAAACGTAAGGGAAAAAGTTGAACTACGAAATCGATATGGATGTCACTGCTGTTTCGCCGGAACAGGTGTCACATATTTCGCGATGAATAAAATCGATTATACGGGGTATCCTCGTGTCTCTCTTTAATAATTTTATATTTTGCTTTGTCTTTTTTGTATTTTACTCGCGACTATAATTTGAAATAACTATAATGCATTTATCGTGTTTTATATATTTTATTACATCGAATCTTTTGCAAACGCAATATGTCAATTAGTTGTTATTGAATTAGCCTGGCGAGTTTATTTCACTGTTATCGCGCCGCCTGTCAAAACTTTAATTTCCGTATCTCCCTGCATTTTCGCTCCTAATGTCCCTTCCATGCTGCGGCGTTTATAAACGGTGACGCGAGCCCGCTTGATGCTCGACGTTGAGGGACGTATACACCTCCGGTCTTTCCCCGACTTTTATTTCAACAACAAAAACACGACGGTATTATCCGTGCGCGCCGATATCAGGAGTCTTGCGCGCAAAAATTTCCCGTAATAGCTCGCGTTACGATAAATCATAAACAAAAATCCGATAGAGATTTGCGATAGATTTCCGATAGATCGGAATTTGCGAACTGAGTTTATGCTCTAACAGTTGATCGCACAAAATGTAATATAAATCGCAAAACACGATCTGAATACAAGTTTCCTCTTTAATCTCGTCGTATCGAAGTCTATTTTTGCATAAAAAAAGATCTGAATTTTTTATCGAGATAAGTTAAGAATTTTCAAGAGTTTCATCCTATTTTGAAATTTAAACTGCACTGATTGTGAGAAAAATGTTCTGATTAAATCAACAAAGACCTAATCAAATGATGAGACCAAATGGAATTGAAGTTTCATTTGAAAATTATGATAACCAAGAATTCTGTTCGGATTCACCAAAATTCTTGTTAAGCCTTTTTGTTAATTTAATTAGAACATTTTTCTCAGATAAATAAAATAACGCTGAGTGATTTTCATATAATTATATTTTCCATATTTTTAAACATTCACTTATTTATATAATTCGATTATATAAACCGTTTTCTCAGAATGAATTAAATAATACTTGATATGCAGACTGTACTTAGAACAAATGGAGAGAAGATAAAAGGCTTTTGTGTAACCTGTTCAAGTTTTCGCGTAGTGTGCTTGTAATACAAATAGAACTGGTCCGAAGTTAGAACTGACCGGAAGTTTCTTCAAAATGACCAGGCAGGAAGACAAAGAAGGGGAGAGGGAGAGAGAGAGAGAGAGAGAGAGAGAGAGAGAGAAAAAAAGCTCTCGACTTTACGGCAACGCCGGTTCGGAAACTGGGGGGTTACGCAAAACGGATGAGCCCCAGAGATACCGCGCATCGTTTACCGACATTTACTAGCGGAAGAGATGGTAAATTACGCGCGCGTATCTCTCGTGTACGAGCTGTTGCTGCTGCTGCTGCTCGCGGTAAAACATTACGACAATATTTTGCTTTCGATTCGGAGTTTGTTTTCGATGATATCCATCGAGTGTTCGATAATAGGTGCAGACCAGGGATATATTTTCTCTGTTGAAAATTAAAACAATATTTTCTCTGGCGAAAATTTTATCAGAAATTTTCGATCACAATTTATTCGTATCTTAATTGTCAGTATAATAAATACAATCAGAATTGATTTTCTGAGGGTAATAAAGAAAAGAAAATGACAGAAAGAAAAATGTGAAGGTGAAATGTAATATCTCGCTCTGTCGATCCGGTATCTTTGTCTGCGAATACCGACGTATGATCGATTCCTTTCGATTCTTAATGCAAAACCACATTTATAGGCTCGACCTGTCACCGCTTATTTTTCTACGTGATGATAAATGCGCTCGCGATCCATCGATCATCGATCTTATTCTTCGGCGCGCGCGGGTTTTTCCTTCAAGATTAAAAATATAACATCCCCCGCGGTGACTAATGTGACGTATGCAACATGTATATACATCGAAAATAACATCACAGTATCAAATGTCTCAACGAAAGTTTTTGAATATTTCACTCTCAAAATTATTTCGCTGAATGTAAAATAGATTTAAACTAACGAGATCAAATAATAAGTGGATATAAATATGTTATTTTAATTTATACAATGATTAATAGCCAAAACACTGAGAACAATATCTAGTTGAAAATTCGATTGTATCAATCAGAATTTCAGTTATTTCAACTATAATTCTAGTTGATTTAACGAGAAAATTCTCATTCGTCCATTTTCAACTAGAATTCCAATTAATTCAACCAGTTTTCTCAGTGTAGTATTATATATTTCGATAAAAAAATATTTAAAGAAATTAAAATTATAAAATGGAAATAATATAGAAATAAGTAATATATATATATATATAATATATCCCTTCTAA